GGTGAGGAAAATGACCAATATCGGCCCAATGCACCAAGGCTCAAAATTTAGAATAATTACAACTCTTATAATCTATTGTCATCAAATTTCGCACATTCCGAGTTTCCGACAAAAATCGGTAAAGTGAAAATGCTTATAATTCTGGCAATTAACGAAAAATTTCAATAAGTTAGCGACTAAATCAAAGTAGCCGCTAAGACCTAACGATAGGTACCAATGTTGTCAACTTTAACTTTTTTTTATCAAAATTTTGGGTTTCAAAGATACCTATTTTTGTCAGTAACTCAAAAAATGACTCACTCCTACTAGTCTCCCCACGAATGGGTTAAAATTTTCAATAACAAAACTCTCACAAAATGCGATTATACATTTTCAATTCCATTTTCAATACTTATATATCTCATAACCAGCGAAATAAGTAAGAATTCTTTTCAAACTTGGTATACTTAAGTATTTCTCTCAACCAGAGATCTGATGTTAATATGGAATTTATCGGCCCACTTAATTTTGTTTTGTTTTTAACTTGTTTTCGACAGTTTTTTTCTACCTCATGAGGCATAAAGGTGAGATTTTTTCTAGGACCGACATAGGCAAGTTACATTATTTAAATAAGCCATTACCATATTCAAATGCAAAACTTGAAAAAAAAATTCGGTGAATAATGTAGCTAAAATCATCAAAATTCGGAATATCGGGTGGTACCGTTATATGGGCGCTATATGAAGACGTGGACCTGCGCTGACAATTTTCTGCCTTAGGCTGTAATATCTATTACGAACTTCAAATACCATAATTCCGGTGAATAATGTCGCTAAAATCTTCAAAATACAGAATATCAGGAGGTACCGTTCTGTGGGGTTATACCAAAACGTGGACCTGCATGACTCATTTTCAATACCAAAAGTCCTGCAGATATAATATATATTTGAGTAAAATTTTACCAACCAACTACATTTCGTTCGGAAGCTAGAGTGATTTCCACAGACAGATAGACGGGCGGACATCGTTAACATAGAATAGACATAGAATTTTATGCTGATCAAGAACATACATACTTTGTTGGATCTAAAATGTATATTACGAGATGTTACAAACGGAATGACAAACTTAATTTACCCTCCATACTATAAAAATTTAAATTAACCCCTTAACTTTACTCTTTCTCTGAGAGTATTGTCCTAATTTTCACTAATATCAGCGCTGCTCAAAAACAAGACCTCGCTCACCAGTTCAATTTCTCTTTGTTTTTTTTTTTTTTTTGAATAATCAAAAAACCAGCGTTAAACTATAATTTATACATTTTTTTTTTTGTAAAAATTCGCTTTATTAACAATTTTTGACAACATCCAAGTTTAAAAACTATAGAAATGAATGGATAAATTATTAAATTGTCTCTTTTTTGGGCTCAAGTGCTAGCACACTGTTTTGAGCAGTGCTGCTAAAACTAACAATAGAATCTCTAATAATATAAGTAATGAAAAAAAACCTTGTGCATACTTACATTGGAGCCAACAAATGTGACAACATCAGTGATTAAAACAGCCGTTTGCTTAATTTTTTCCTTTTGAATATTTTCTCCCATTTTTTTTTTGCAATATTCAAATAATTATTTATTGAATCATTTTTTTTATTCATTATTATTTTTTTTAATTTAAGATTTATTAGTTGTTGTTTTGGTTGATTTTACTTTTTATTTTCATAATTCGTTTTGTAAATTTCTTTCTTTGTTGTTTTGTTTTTGTTTTGTTTCTTTTATTAATTTATTTGAACTTAAAGTATTGCTTAAACAATACGCCTTACATTATTTACTGTTATGTATATATGTATATTCAAGAGAAATTGTGGGAAAACATAGTTTTGAGAATTTACAAAAGCAACTGAGGGGCAAAAATGGAAAAATTAAATGGAAACACACAAAAATAAACCATAAATAAAACTATTTAAATTATTGATCGGATTATAATTTTAGTTTTGCATTTTATAATAACTAATAGGAACATAATAATAAACATACATATGTTACGCTATGTCTGCCTGGCAGTAGTTGGGTATGTATGTACATATAGAAGAACGCCAGTAGTAGTAGTGGTAGTTGTATGTATGTAGTTCAAGATGCTGGTTATGATTGTTATGATGTTGAACTGAAATCGATTTTGCTCTTGCTTTTGCTTTTTTGTTGTTGTTGTTGTAAGAAATGAACAGTGAAGTGAACTAAAAGAAAATGAAATAAAAATTCTATAATTTGAACGGGGATGATGGAGGTGGTGGTGCTGAGGGGAAGGGGGCTAGAAAAGTTCAATATAAAAAATGCTCAGCTTTTCATTTTCTTTATACGACGAGTATAATTCGTTGCATTTGTTGTTGGTTTCTTGGCTTTTGTGGTTTAGTTTTTTTTTTTTTGCATTGCATTGTATTATTATGTAGTCTATAATTTTCTTCAAGTGTGTGTGTGTTTTTTTCTTTATTTATTTTTCTCTTAAATTTTTTTTGTACAACGTATTTTAAGAAGAAAAAACATTCTACCGTGGTTTTGGGGTTTTTTTACAATGTTGTTTGGGTTGGGTTAATCTAAGTTTGTTGGTTTGCTATTTGGCAAAATGGGGACAATGTGGGATCGAGATGAGGTGATGTTTGGTATGGGAAATATGGAAGATTTCGTTGATTATTAAAAAAATGTTAAAAGATTTTTTTAGCTAATTTTTTTTTTACTTTACTTACAGTTAATTTGGAAAAAAAGACAAAATCTATACAGTGATAAAAACGTATATTCAAGTATTTCTAATGATTTCAAAAACAATTCCGCTCTGTATGTTGAGTGCAATGCAAAACTGATACTTCAATTTTTTGTAGGTGTTGAAAAATAATAAAAAAATCAAGTTTTTTAAATTAATTAGAAATTCTCAATTTTCTTGTTGTTAGTGCATATAATTAAAATTGTTTATTAATTAATTATCTGTTTCGTAGAACTGAAACAATTGAAGTGCTTCCCATCCTCCTATGAAAATGTTGCTCATAATTAATACATCAGATCATTTTGAATTGCGTGCGAAACCATGAAAATATATTTATTTAATATTTAAAGCAGGACTTATTACACAATTAATATTCCATTGAATATAGACCTAAGGGCTACTTTTGGAAGGAATGACATGACTGCAACTCACATAAGTGGCACAAAATAGTCTAATGTAGTCTCTTCTTAGTAATTGTAGTCTCTTTTGGAAGTAATTTGATTCAAAAACTATATGAACAGGGAATTGACTTTCTCTAACACTTTTTTTCATGAGCTAAAATCGTACATCTTAAGGGAGTGTTACTCTCAAATGGAGGCTAGATTATCCTAAGTTTTTTCCTGTATTGGAATAAAAGTACATAGTAATACTAGTAGCGATTTTAAGAGAACCCCATAAACATGGCGTACAAATTTGGCCGAGTAAAAAGTTGGAACATTTTCATTTGAAAACTTTACAATTATATTTGTATTTACAATTTTTATTTTTAGTTCAAAATTTTCCGTATAAATTTTATTTGAATTGTTTTTTCTTTAATTGCTAATCTAATGTCTCGATTTACAAAAGGGGATCATTTGAATTACAAGTTTTATAATTCGAATTTTAAATAAATCTACTCGAACAAATTTGGTAAAAGAATGGCAAATGGAATACTGTTAGGCATAAATAATATATCAAAATTAATTTTCGAATTACAAATGAAATAGTCTGAATTATAAGCAGTATATTTCGAATTATAAATGAAGTATTAAAAAAAAAAACACAAGTGACATATTCCGAACTACATCTGGTAAATGAGCTTTTAAATCGATTTTGACACTATACCTCCTAACAAGTTTCACCATTACACAGACACCGAAACACGGCAACTAGGTTTTGATATTCGCTAATTGAAAACTTTGTGGTCTTTTGACTCGGGCCTGAGAGGAAAAATGTGTCATTTTGATTTCTGATATTATTTTCGTTTCATTTACACGGGATGGGACTTGTGGCAGTATTTGTAATATTAATTATGGCTTGTTTATTGTTAATTATAAATTAAATGCGCGTTTAATGTAGTCATTTGGACAGTGTGTTTGTGTGTGTGTGTTGGCTTGTTTGACTATCATGACATGGCTGGCTATTGGCTACTATTTTGAATTTCCCAGCCACGGGTTCAGTTCTGTTCAGTTCTGTTTTTTCGTTTTGTTTTGAAGTCTTTTGCCGGAGGAAATTAAGCGTTTGCAGTTACACTGGCGGAATATTAATTGTTGTTGTCTTTGTTTGATGTATGGGGAGTCAGGTGCGGTTTCAGGGTGGGTGGGGGCTTTGTCGGAATGGGACACGGGATCGTACTTTAATGAGTTAATGTAAAGAAATTAAACATTTTAAAGCATTTTATTTTTAGAATTTCAATTTGTTTTCATTTATTATTCTTATTACTGTTTGTTTTGTTCTTCAAGTTAGTTTTTCTTTCTTCTTTTGGTTGTCGTTTTCATTCATATTTATTTGTATTTTCTTTCTTTTTATTTTTTTTTTCGTTTTCGTTTTTTTGTGTCATATTTTCTATATATGGCTGCTGAGTTTAGTTTGAGTTAACGGAAAGAAGTGGCGCTTACCAGTTAGTTTAGTTTAGGTTTGAATTTCATTGAAATCTTATTTTAGTAAAAACAAATAAATACTGTTTGGAATTAGCCTTAAACATGTCACTTTGTCTGCATGTCTTGCATGTCGGCTGTCAGTGTGTATGTGTCTGTGTGTGTCATCGGTCCGTCAATGTCTATTTACAATGAGTTATTGAATGAATTTCCGCTTTCGATTTCATTTCAAGCCAATTTCGGAGCGACAATCAAAAATGGGGCTCCTTTGAAACCCAAATGAAACCGAATCCAATGGTTGTTTGTGAGTGTGTGTGGGTGCCTGTACGGTACGCTATTTAGTTAATTGTTAATTACGAATGTCTTTTAACCTTATCCGCACAAAAGACAAAAGAAACAGAAACAAAAAAAATTGTATTTACATTTCATTTTATTTTAATTTGTATCGTTTTTATTTTATTTCTTGCTCTCGCTTCACACGTTTCGCTAAATAGAACGAACTAAGTTTATCAGTCTGTTATTTTATCCAATCAAAATTTCAGTATAACTTTTGAGGACATTTTTGTTTTCCTTTAAAATTTGTTGTATATATATTAAAAAAATAATGAATAAACTAAACTAAATTGAATTCAACCAAAAATAATAATAACTTAAACTTAAAAAATTACAAAACAATTATAAACAATAAGTACACAATACAATTAATAAATAATGGGGGTTGGGGAGTGGGATGGGGTGTTTTCATATTTTACAAAAAGTGCTGGGGAATCCTCCTATTCTGGAAATAGAGAGTTGTGCACTTCATAAATTCACTGGTTACATAGTCTGTCTCCTTGGAAAGCTTAAATACTAGAGCAGGGTCATCAACTTCTGCGGCTCTTCCGGCTGGGATGTTGAAATCACGTCAACAAACGGCCGTTTGCTGTTGGCGCTGCTGATGTGGTCGCTGTCGCTGGACTTGTTGGTAATTCTGATGTTACGCCCACAAACTGTTGCTCTCCTCGCCCACTGAGGCTGTGGTGGTGTTGATTTCATTCAGGGAGAGATTCGATTCGTAATGATTTAGGTCGTCATCATCTGGACGACAACTTTCATTGGAACTGTTGCTGCTGGAGTTGTTACTACTGCTGCTGGCTTTGGCTGCACTGCTGCCAACGCCACTGCCACAACGACAATTAGGATTATCCTCTCCTCGTCGACAACTACAGGTTGCTTTTTTGGAATTATAACTGGCGACCGTGCCATTGGCCAGCGGTGGTGGTGGGGGCGTAAAGTTTGAGGAAAAACTGGCCTGCAGTCCGGGCTTGCGTCTACTGCTGGTGCCCTCGCCGCTGCAATCACAGTTATTGGAGGTCTTTTGTAAAGTGGATTGCTTTGAATAATCCACACTGTCGTATGTGGGAGCAGACATCTCCCCCAGACCACCGCCAACGACACCAGCGCCCGAGGCAACACTGAGTCCCCTTGGAATTTGACCATTGCCCATGCTGTAGTACGAGGGCACTGCATACTCGTGTTGTTGCTGGTGGTGCATATGGGCCGTTGACAGGGCTGCTGCTGCAGCTGCTGCTGGTGGTGGTGGCCGCATGTGGTTGTGATGGCGCTGGAATTCAAGGGTTTTGGCGTGCTGCATCTCCTTGCTCTCCTTGTTCGCTTTGTAGCCCAGCTCGTTGAGTGTGTTGAATTTACAATTAGCCGTGGCCGTTGGAATGGGAGCATACCCTCGGACACAGTCATTAATTGTGGCATAGTTGCTGCAATCACTGTACGGCTTGTCGGCCACCATGACACCACTGGCTCGACCATTGGCAGTCGCTTGATATTCATGGGCTGCTGCATAGATGTTTACCGATGAGCGATTGCTTAAACAGTTCGTGGTGGTGCGTTTGCTGCGAACATGGGGCAGGGCCAGGCGCAATTTTTGCCAGAACTTCTTGTCGTCCCACTCGATGCAGGTACTGGTGCGTAGGTAGTGACGCATGTCGATGTCGATGTCACGTTGCGGCAAGTCACCATACAAGATGAACACAATGCGCTTCCTGCGTTTGACGAGCTCGTGCAGGGCACTCTTGTATTCGAATCGCGACCATTCGTTGTACAAAAAGTTTTTGGACAGCACCAACACGAATTGCTTGGCGCTTTCGGCAGCCTCAATCACGGCATCGGTGACATAGGCATTAATATTAATGTCACGGTAATGCAGGCAGGCCCTGTAGCCCATGTCGTTTTCCAGGTTGTGGGCCAGAATTTGATTAACGAAATGCTCGTCCTGCAGACTGTAGGCGAAGTAGACATCGTTGAGGCGCTCCTTGTCGAGTTCTTCGACAAAGCCCGTGTTCTTGTAGCAGATGTTTAGCAGGCAGTTGGTATGGGCCCACATTTTCAGTTCTTGGCGATAGCAGAAGAGGCCCATTATAAGACCAAAGAAGCCAACGAAAGCACAAGTGGCCATCAGCAAAAGGGGGAGGAGGCTTTCAATTTCACTGGCCTGCACATAGGTGGCAACATCTTCGCGCAACGTACACTTGGTACCGTTCTTCTCTCGCAGAACACTTGTGGCATTGTTGTAGACACAGGATACGCGAGAGGCATCGATAATTTTGCCAGAGTTCTGGGCCAAGTAGGTTCGGAAATGCATAAGATAGCTACACTCACAAGACCACTGATTATCGGCCAAGCCGATTTCGGCCAAATAGGGATTCAAAGCCAATTGCCATACCTCGAAGTGCATCAGGCGATTGCCGTCCAAACGCAAGACTTCTAACTTTCTCAAGGCGTGGAAGCTACCATTGCCAATGGTGGCTATGCGATTGTTTTGCAGATACAGCTCCCTCAAATTTTCCAAGTTAGCAAATTCATTTCCCTCCAGCGATGTTATGTGATTATCTTCCAAATGTAGGATAACTAAACGCTTCAGGCCACTGAACGTTGTGTTGTAAATGATCTGGACATTGGAGTTGTTCACATAGAGGACGGCGAGATTTTTGCGACCCAGGAACGAGTGGCTGGCCAACTCGACGAAATTGTTGCCATCGATGTACAATTCGGTGGTGTCCATGGGCACTTTGCGAGGCATGGTCGAGTAACCGGCTCCAGAGCACTCGACAATGTTGGTGGACCAAGTCTGGTCGTGGAAACACGTACAGTTCGTGGGGCACGTCATTTCACAGTCACAGGCATCGAATTCACAACAGTGGCAGACGGCGAAGCAGTGCGTCTTGTAGGTGCACAAGAAGTGCTTGGGCTCAGCTTCGATGAGGGGAATGTAGGCACGTTCGCGGTTGTTCAACAGCTTACAGTAGATCGTCTCCAAGTCCATGATGCGGGGATACTGGCGCGACTTAATGTGATTTATCTTCTGCAGCCAGTCGATGTTGCAGTCGCATGTGAATGGATTGCCGCCAATGTAGAACTCGGGCAGGGAACGGTGTTCGTGCACAGGCAAAATGCGCAGGGATTTGACGTCCAAGGTGCTAATCTGATTGGCGTACAGATCGACGCGTGTGAGGTTGGTCTTGTGCATAAATGTGTCCGGATCCACTGTGGTGATGAGGTTGTCGTTGATGAACAATAGCTCAATGGAGTTGGGTATGGAGGAGGGGGAAATGCGCTGAATCTGATTGAAACTGGCGTCGATGGTCTGTAGACGTATTTGGGAGTCCAAGCCGAAACGATTCGATAGTTCAACCAAACGATTCTTGTGAAGGTCCAGCCATTGAAGCGTGCTAGGCACATGGGCATAGTCGAAGTGTTCAAGGCGGTTGTCGGAGATGTTGAGCCACAACAGGGACGGCATGTTGCTGAAGAGGCCATTGATATCGCTGAGGTCGTTGCCATCGAGGCGTATAGCCTGAATGCTGGAAGTCATTTCGAAGGCACCAGGTTCCACTACGGCAATGCGATTGCGGGCCAAGTTCAGAATCTGTAAACTGGGCAATTCCTTGAACGCATGCATGGTTATGTTCTCCAAATAGTTGCCAATCAATCGCAGACCGTACAAATTGCTCAAGCCCTTGAAGGCATTGTCCTCCAACACAGTTATCATATTTTCGCCCAAGTCGACGGTGCGTAAAAGACGCATGTTGCGCAATGCCAGAGGAACTGTTTTCAATTGGTTGCCATTCAAATTCAAATCTTGCAGGGAGCTGCAATTACGGAACGCCTCCGGATGCACTCCGATAAGATGATTATTGTCTAGCGATAGCAGAGATAAGACGTACAGGCCATTCAGAGCATATGCGTCCAAGTACTTTAGTTTGTTGTGCGACAGGAGCAGGGTGTGCAGATTGTTCATTGGTGCGAATGTCTCGGCGGCAATGTTTTCCAGTTGGTTGTGGCGCAGATTAAGAATTTGAAGTGTGTAGAGGTCGGTAAAGATTTCTGCATCTAATTTGGTCAGCTTGTTGTGCGACAAATTGAGCAACACCAAGCGGATGAGGCCCACAAAGGTACTGCGATCAATCCAGGTTGAGGTAATTTGGTTGTAGGACAAATCCAAGGCTTGTAACTGTTCCAAATTGGAAAAGAGTTTTGGCGACAAGACGCTGATGGAATTATTTTGCAGGTAGACTTCTTGAATGGAAGACGCCTGTTCGGCGAACAGCTCTGAGGGAAGGGCCACAATTTTGTTGGAGCTGAGATTTAGGATTTGCAAATTCTTCAAGCCACTCAATGCCTTGTCGGCAATCATGGAAATTTCATTGTTGTTCACTTGCAGGGCCCGTAGGCGTCTCAGGGTGGCAAATCCATTGGCGGGGAGCAGGACAAAGTGATTGAATGATACATCCAAAACTTCAATTTCTAGGTTGCAGGCTGTGTTCAGCCTTTTGGCATCAGTAGAAGCTGTGGCATCTGGAGCGTATTCCTTGCTTCGGTCGCGGAAGCCCAGCTCATTGACATCTTGCAAGCGATTTTCGCTCATATTGAGCGATATCAGAGCACTCAGCGAACAGAAGATGTATTCGGGCAAGGACCAAATATTGTTGGACGACAGATCAAGGCGTTCCAAATTCTTTACCACGGCAAATGCTTCGGGCTCAATGTCAAAGCTGAGCGATGGCCACAAAGTGTTGTGGGTGCGTACGGTCAAGTTCCTCAGTTGGCTGAGGCCATCCAATACGTTCTTGTTGAACTTGGACAGTTTGCAGTACTTGATGGAGAGTTCCTGCAGGCGCGTAAGGTGGGCGAACGATTGGGGCTCCAGCGAGCTCTTGGCCATGATTTCGTCATTGCACAGGACATGCAGGCCCACGGTGTGCTCCGAGGGAATGACACTGAAGTTGGTGGTGTCGAATTCACTGTTGACGGTGCGTAGATTGCAAGTCAACATAATTTCTGGATGTTCCGGCCCAGCTGCCGGCAAGAAGTGGCAGTCGTCGGGCGTATCGTAACGCATATCCTGGCTATCCATTCGGGTGCCATGCATGACCATGTGCGTCGAGTGCAACTGGGTGTTGGAAACACCAGCCTCACCCATGATGGCATTTGAGTGCTGTTGCAGCTGTTGTTGTGTTGTATGTGTGGATAGTGGTTGCTGTTGCTGCTGTTGTTGTTGCTGTTGTTGTGGCGACTGCTGCTGTTGCATGCTGACATTGCATACGAAGAGGCTGGTCAAAGCCAGAATTGCAATGAGTTTCGCTGAAGAAGCCATTGTATCCGGTCGTTGGTTTGTGTGTGTGTGTGCGTGTAGTTTACCAAATAAAATGATGAAAAATGAAACCAAACAAATAGTTGGCGAAAATGAAAAACCAAAAGTGAAACAAATTGGGAAAGGTGTAGTGAGGTCTATTAATCCTTTTTAATCATTTTGAGTGATGTGTGTTTGTTTTAAGGCCCCTGTGGTCGTTCGGTTGTGGATTCACGTATTGTTGTTGCTGTTGTTCGAGATTAGGCCTGTTGTCGTGGTCGTTGAGTTGCCGAAACAATTTTCACATAACGTTATCGCACCGAATGTGGCAAATTGCGATTCGCAATTTTCATTTGTTTATCTTTGTATTTGTATTTGTATTTCTCTTTATCGTTTCTTTTTTCTCGAAGGATATATTTGGTTGTTGTCACACTAAAACAAAACACACACGCCGGAATTCACGCACTCTCTAATTTGTTGAAAATAGCATTTCTTTTCGTTTCGTTTGGTTTCAATGCCGTGTAGATGTTGTTAAGGATGTTTCTTAACTTTTGTGTTTTCTATTTGTATTTTTGTTGCTGTTTGTATTTTCTTCTTCTCTCTTCACAGTATTCACACTCGCACACGGTTCGGATATTTTCTTTTTCAATTTTTTTTTCTTTTTTCGGTGAAGAATTATAAACACATTTTGTGACTACTTGCCCCCACTGCTGTAGGCTTTTTGTCTAATTAGGAACATTAATCGTTATTGAATTTAATTACAAATTGAATGCGGGATTTCCCACAAGACGGCGACGTTCGACACGTTTCGTTCTTTCTTTTCGTTTTGTTTTTGTCACTAACAAGACGCACCCGTTTCTCTGGTTATGTGTATTTATTTTGGGTTAAATGGATTTTTGTTTATTTTTTCTTTGATTTTCTTCTTCTTGGTTAGTTAGATTTGTATTTTGTATGAGGAATTTGAAGAACGACGAATTGAGGTGTTTGTCGTACAAGTTCTAACTAAAGACTGACTGGCTATGGTCTAACAACAACCCTTATATAGATGTGATACTTTAAGTTGTGGAGAGAACCCATGACATTGTGTTCTGCACAAGCATAGCACAATACCGAAAGAGAGATAGAGAGCGCGAGAGAGCCCAAGTGAAAAGACAAAAGAGAGTGTGTACTACAATGCCATATGTTTGATGTTGTACAATGCTGTGCTGTGTTGGTTCAAAGGATACGAACGGGCGTAAAATAATCATAACAGAGCGTAACAAATTCCAAATGAGAACCAAATGATGAATGTGAGAGAACATGAGAGAGATAGCATTTTCTTGCTCTCGCGGAACTAATGAAATTGCAGTGTAGAGTTTTCCTGCCTTTTGTTTTATGTTTTCTTCAATTTCTGGTGTGATGGACAGACGGACACACAGCATCCTTGTCCAACAGCTGTCGCAACAGATTTTTCTTAGAAGAAAATTCTCACCACAGCAGGATGCCTAAATACAAGACTCATTCAAAAATAACATTATGTTAAGAGATTTCCCTCGGACGATAAGTAACTAAAGACGGGATGGATGAGTTGCAAAATGCTCACTTACACAGATGCAGTGTGTGGTGAACACATACACACAGGCATGTGTGTGCGAGTGCGGCACGGCATGGAAAAGTCAACTAGTGTTGGATGCCTGTTTGGTCCACATTCTTCAACGAACTTCGGTAATCCATCAAACATGATTTTGAATACAAAAGAATGGAGTTAAGTTAATGGGATGCTTGCTACGACGACGACGACGAGAACGACAACGACGGTGTCCTTTTTTAAATCCGCTTTGCATTTTAAGCTGATTATGAACATACGTCATTGTGCGTTGAATAACTTTTTTCTGCTTCCTTTCGCTCTTACAATCCGTGTATGGGGTTTAAGCATTACTATTTACTTCCGTTTGTCTAACTGTCGTCCAAACCTGGACGGCATTGGACTGGCTATTGTCTTTGCCTTTAATACACATTGTCCTTGATTCCTTAAGGATATCACTGTGCTGCTTTTATTCTGCGACAATGTCCTTGTTACAGGAAATCAATAGTTTTGACCATAAATTTATAAACCAAAAATAAGATTATGTTCTTTGTGTGTTTGTCATTTTGTTGCCCTCAAGTTGTGATTAATGTTATTATTTTTATCATGGCGTTGTTGTTGTTCTTCTTCTTCCTTCAGATACCACCATCAGTCGTATGGACTGGAATGCATTGTTGTCTTTGCCATGTGACTGACCATTTATCATCGTACATATGCAACTTGAAGAACTTCTTGGTTGGTCCGGAAGTCAACAATAGAGGTAAGTTTTGTTGTAAGAAAATGTGCCATAGAATTCATTTCAATTCAATTCAATTACTTTTGCAATTCACACTCGGCCTCAGACAGACAGACAGTGGGAGAGAGAGACAGAGAGCTCCTTGGTAGGACACAGAAATGACCTTTGGCTAGCAGAAACATACGGATGTCCAGGGGAGGTAGAAAGGAAGGAAGGAAACATTCCAGGCCACACCGAGATCTGGGAGTCAATGTTTTCATATGTGTGGTGGCATTTTGTTTTTCTTTCCTTTCATTTCTTTTCATTGCTGCAGCATCAATTTCCTGTGGGAATTTTATTTTGACATTTCAATTATGAAGCTGCATTGAGAGAAATAAAGGACATTTAGGATTTGACAATTATGCCAGTCAGTCCGTACTTAATTGTGTGTGGCCACATTGGTTTTCAATTTCATTCTTTGCAAGTCCTTGTCATGTCTTGCAGTCATTGCAACAACTAAACATTGATTTGCACATCCGCACATATGCTGGCCGAGGTTTTCCCACCAAAACAAAATCATGGTCCTTGAATGCGTCGTGAAAAACAATAACATCTTAGCCGCCAGACCTGAGTCACAAAATCGTAGCCACGACAATTTATTGCACGCAGAATGTCCTTGACTTAATGGCTCGCTGGTCGGTTGTTTGGCTTGCGGGCTGTTCGACTCGGCTGTTTGGCTGTGACTTAGCCACAAAACCGAGGTTTCACAAGACTTGCCAATTTTGCCATTACCGCAATCACTGGATTTTCGCCGGTATTCAAAACATAAAAGTTTTTAATTTTCAATTTACGCCCGAAATAGCCTTGAGTAAGGCAGAGATTGCGTTTCGATTGGCAATAAATAAATAGAAGAGGTAGAATGACCCATTTCGTATTTTGTTGCATTAAGGACAAAAAACTGTTGTAGCAAAGTAATGTTTCCAGGAATATTATATAGGTATCTCCAAACTAGTTACACAAAACGGTAACTAAATTATTTACATACATACATAGTATTTTTTTGTATATGCGTATGTATTTGTTACCCAAAAACGTTTACTGGAAACATTTATGTAGTTATTTTTTAAAAATGACCTTTTCTATTGGTCTTAGAGGACTATGGCACAATGGAGTGAGAATCTCTACAGCCGCCTCCCCCATCCAAAAAAGAGATCTCTTAATTTTTAACGGGTGGTCTACATTAACGGTCAATCTAATCCAATTCAACCAAGTCAAGTCAATTCAACCTGCCAACCGCCCCCCTCCAATAGGCAAACCGACCATGAGCCAGTCAGAGTTAATGAACAATTCATGTCAGTTGCTAATTACCTTCAACGAGCATAAAACCTTCTTCTTATTTCGTTTTTATCTTTAATCAGTAAAAAGATATTTTATATCCTCACAAACGCAATCGCACATACTCTCACTCACACACACAGACACAGAGAGCGATGTAGGAATGAATTCAAATAAGATGGAAATCTCCATCACTTGACTCGCTGACTAGCTGACTGACTAACTGAGTGACTGACTGGCTTACTAACTTTATATGTTCGTTTATCGAGTTGTTGTTGTTGTTGTTGTTGCTACGGCTATTATTGTATCGCATGGTAAAGTAATTCTCTTAATATGCCACAAAACGTTATAGACAATAGCTGGGTAATTAACAAAGCTTGCCTTCGGCCCCCTTGCAATCACCCCCGCCCACCTCTAACTTGCCAAGGACTGACATACAGTGTCGTTGCTGATGTCTTTCCGCTCTCCGCTTCTTCCTTCCTCTGCTTGTATTGTCTTTTCTTCTTTGGCAAATAATACAATTAGTTTGTGATGTTCTAGTTTTTGTTGTTGCAAGTCTCTTGATAATGATTTTTTTCATACACATTTGTGTTTTGTGCGCCACTGCCCTACCCCCCTACCCCCCACATATCAATCTAGATAAGAAGATGAGCAAGTTGGTGTGTGCGTGTGTGTGTGTGTTGACCGACCAAACCCAAGTCCGTTAAGGATGTCCAAGTGGAAATGAAAAGGGGAAGCCAGAGTTGAAGTAAATAAAACAAATTCTTATTAAATGATGCAAAAAGGACAATAAAACCTTATTTAGTGGTTTGCTAATTTACTTCATTTCAATCCGCTATTCTCCAAGCGGCGGAGAAGGATTAACACTCATCCCGTCCGTCACTCAGATGAGCGCAACAGTGAAACCGGGGGGAAAATGGCAATGTGTCAATTTCAATGAAGGAATTATCGCAAGGGGAGTTGGTTGGGATAAAATTAAAAGGGGTCTTAGCAGAAAATACTCCTAGGATAATTTTGTAATTGGGTCATATTTATAACTTGTGGTGGCAAATTACTTTGTTGCAAAAACCTATTAAATTATTACAAATATTGCGCATAAAATTTCGGGCATTCAGGCGACGTAATGGGCAGGGGATAACTATCACTTGGTTCTAAGTTTGGGCAAGGAAAATCAATTATAAAGGATATTAAATCGATTTTTGCAACGTAATTGTATTACGCTAGATTTTTTTTGAAAGAAAAAACACGTTTCACAGCAATTGCTTCCTGAATCAATGACGTTTCTGTTCTATGTTTCATTACAATAGGGATTTATTCCCATATGCTTTAATACAAAATTTGTGTTTCAGGACCTGCAAATTCGTGCTAGATAGTAGAAGAAAAATACGGTTATCGTAGTAAAATTTTAAATTTTTTTCAGTTCCTGGAACTCATATTGAACCCAATTTTTAGACAAATCCGTGAAAAAATGTGGGTAAAACCATCAAAATATCGTGTAGTAACGCTATGTGGAGGCTATTCGAAAACGTGGACCTATATAACCAATGTTCTGTCACCGAAGCTGGAACCCATTACAAACAATAAATACCATTTATTGCACAAACCTGTTGAAATCATAAAAATGCCGAATATCGGGATGTACCCTTATATGGGGGCTATACGAAAACGTGGACTTATGCAGACATTTTTCTTGTTCAATGTAAATATTCTCAAACACTCCACGCAGACAAACTGTGTGGAATATTTGATCCTGTTTTACCACTATGTGTTTGATTCCCAGTGCAGAGTCATGTGGACTAATATCTTATAATCCTGAGACGGTGTGTTTTCTTTGAAGACGAATGTTCCTTCAAAAGATCGGACAATATTTTTCAAATATATGATATGTCATAGATTATTATATTATTCTAATAAAATGTTTACATATATTATTAGAATAATACAATGCCACTCTCTGTTCCGACTCCGTATGTTATGTGTACTCTTCCAATTTAATTTTTTGTGGGCCACGAAATGCTCCATTGCCAAAACAGAGATGACTCGATAAAAGCTGTCTGATTATCAGTGTGAATTGTTATGGTTAACTAACCATTTGTTCCCATTAACCTACACAGGATTTCCCACATCAGTGAACAATTCATAGAGCCTGTTAAAAATCCACATCAACACGACTGATGGAAAAAAGAACGTTATACCTCACTACATACACACCCATTCATCCATCCAAATATAACAAAATCCGCCGTGACGTTGATTTCGATGACGATGATGATGGAGATGGTGATTTTGACAAAACAGACAATAGCCTCATTTGAAGCAGGGCGCAAACAGCAAATAATGCAAAGCAAAAAGTCAAACATCTTACATCATTATGACGAAGTAACAAGTGAT